GCCCAGGATACAGTTAACCAATGCCCTATTGAGGAGATTTGTTTTCACATTTTTGCTAGAAAAATGCTATTTTTTTATTTTTTGACAGAGTCTCATTCTTGCCTAGGCTGGAGTGCAGTGGTGTGATCTCGGCTCACTGCAAGCTCCGCCTCCCAGGTTCACGACATTCTCCTGCCTCAGCCTCCTGAGTAGCTGGGACTACAGGTGCCCGCCACCATGCCCGGCTAATTTTTTGTATTTTTAGTAGAGATGGGGTTTCACCGTGTTAGCCAGGATGGTCTCGATCTCCCGACTTCATGATCCACCAGCCTCGGTCTCCCAAAGTCCAAAGTGCTGGGATTACAGGCGTGAACCACCACACCCGGCCTAGAGTAAGTATCTTTGAACAGGCCTCTCTGCATACTTGGAAGCCTAGGAGCAGAATGTACAATTTGTATTGTTCTTTTATTTTTTTCCAGGGCTTGATTCATTGTTTGACTCTATAGGCGTAAAGTGTTGGGGAATACACCAACAGTACAGATGAAATTTAAAAGTATACCACATCTATACCTTTACATTGTGTCAAGCCCAAAAATGTGATAAAATATTCTTCCATTACCCCATTTACAAAATAAATCATTAACATCTCTGACAAATGGATGAAGTTCTAACATTTAAAAATATACAGGCAGAATACAGGAATTTACATTTGACTAAAGAAGCTTTGTGAGTTGCAAATAAACGCATGAAAAAATGCTCAAAACCATGAGTCATTAGAGAAATGTTAGTTAAAACACAACGAAGAACTGATACAAACTAATACACACCTATTCAAATGGCAAAAAATTAGAAGCAATTACAATGGAAGTTTTAGATAAAGATGCTTAACAACTGCCACTATTTTATATTGCTGTTGGAAACATAAAATGGCACAAACCCTTTAAAACAGAGTAGAGCAGCTACTTGGAAAGATAAATGTTCACGTATTCTGTGAGGAAAGCATTGCACTTTTAGATTTGAAGTCAAGACAAAGGAGAGCCTATAAAATCATGGTCATAGCAGCTTTAATTGTAAAAGCCAAAAGCCCGTATGACAATTAACAAAAATAGATTAACTGTGGTACATTCATTTTATAGAATATTACTCAGCAATAAACTGAATGAACTATTCACACACGTTGCAAAAGAGAATCTCAATTACATTGTATGAAAGAAATCAGACAAAGTTAAATACATTCAGATTCTAGAGGACGCAAATCATTCAATAGTAAAAGAAAGTAAAGCGATGGTTTCTTGGGGGTGTAGGGCTAGGGAGGATAGAGAAGGAGCCATTTTAAAGGTATACAGGGTAATTCTGGGGTAATAAATACGTTCCTTATTGTGATTGTTGTGACTGTTTTACTTGTGTGTGTGTGTGTGTGTGTGTGTGTGTATATATATATTTCTAATTTTATAAAATGGTATACATCAGATCTATAGTTCACAGTATGTCAGCTGTATTCCAATAAAACATTAAAATAATGTATTTCATATGAAAAAATCTAGATTTTCCATTTACTTTAGAAAATAAAAGAATTAGCTAAGCCCATATTCATTCCACCATCTTTGTTCTCAACATTAGCAGCAGAGACTAGAAAGCAATGAGGGCCATTTCCACCTGAGTCATCAGACCTGCTGTGCCACCAATGCCACTGCACTGAGTGGTGGAAGCTATGTTCCCTCCACCCCCATTTTCTTGCCTCTGCAGCAACACACCGAGGTGAATAGTCCATCTGTACAGGCTGCAGTAATCCGCAAAAGCCTTAGATTATTTGCTCTGCCAATAAGATTGAGTGTAGGAGAGGTGCTGGTTTGGAGGTCCCGAGAACTTCTGCAAAACCCTCATCCTGTGGAACCATGTTTATGGGAACATCTGTAGATGCACCTTCAGGATAGGCACCCTTACTCCAGTTTTCTATAGCCCAAGCTCCCTATTAACACTCCCAGTGTTTCTGTACAAAATATGATTTCCATCTGCACCCTGTAGGTCTTGTAGTCAATGAGCTCAGGCCATTCATGATTCTCTCCAAGGACTGGAAAGGCAGAATAGAGGTCTGCATGAGAACATGAGGGTTACTGATCAAACCCTGGAGAGCTTCAGCCACAAGCCCTGATAGCAACCAACGTGGTAAAGTCCATGAACAGGCCAAAAATGGCAACACAGCTCCAGAGCTTCGGACATACCTAGCACGCGTAGAAAATCTTTCCATGTGGGTAACTGCATGAATAGGATTCATCATCTGCCCAATATCTCTGAAATGAAGATAAATTCCAGATCTTCTCTCTGTTGTTAAGTCCTGTTGCTGGGCAAAAGAAGAGAGAACATTCTCTCCAGTAGAAGGTCTCTCACCAGTGGGAACTTTCTGGTGCTGAAGAAGTCAGGTCTTTGTCTAAAGGCTTTCCCATATTTGCTGCCTTTTAAAAGCCTCTCTATTATTAGATTGCTGCAAACATAATGGGGGGTTTGGTCATTAAAAGTAATGGCAAAAACCACCATTACGTTTGCACCAACCTAATAGGTTGTGAAGTTTCTGGTGCTGAACAGATTAGACCTTTAGCTGAATGCTGTGCCACATTCATGGTGCTCCTGAGGGCTTTAGCTATTTTGAACTTGTATCTATTTTTGTTGGCAGATGAGCCAGAAGTTGGTACTGAAAACTTCCCCACATTCACTGCACTTGTAAGTGCACATCCACCCATGTGAACTCTTCAATGCTTAATGAGATGTTTAAAGAATTTCCCACATTTGTTGTCCCCATATGGCCTTACTCCATGGTGGATTCTCCCATGTTTATGAGACTGGAGATGCAGCGAGAGAATTTCCCATGTTTTCTGTAGTCCTAAGACCTTTTTCCTGTGTGGATTCTCTGGTGCTGAACAAGTACGGATTTGTGGCCAGAGGCTTGCACATGTTCACTGCACTCGTAATGCCTTTGTACAGTGGGAAAGGCCACCACACACTCAGTGCCCCTGTGTGACTTTCCCCTGTTGTGAGTGACTCGATAGCAGAGAAAGCCTGAGCTGGCAAGAAAGTCCTTTCCAGACCCCACATGCAAGAGGATTACTCTGACTTGTGGTCTCTGCAGCTCTTTACAAACAGTGTCCTGCTCTCTTCACTTCCAATGGGCTCCCCTTCCTTCCGCTGCACCTGTTGCTGGTTGAAGGTTTGCCTTGAACCGGAGTCGTCTTCCACATGACCTACACAAGCATGGTTTTTGCATGGCAGGTGTTGGTACTACGCTTGCCTTGGTATTTATGGTATCAGAAGCTCATTCTAAAGAAACACTGTGTTCACAATATAGTCTTCTAGTCCTCTGTTCCTAGCAAAAAAAAAAAAAAAAAACTTCTGTGTAAGTGCCTTTCAGCAGAGCCTTGGCTGCTGGTAATGCATGACAGCTGTGCATTAGGATGAGTCCAGGTTCAGAAAACTGATTGCAACAATGCACAGGACCCCTGTGACTTCCACTATGGCTGGAGTCATTGTCAACTCTGTCAGGCACGCAGATTTCTTCCCTATGTAGTGCCTAGAAGATGTATTCAGCAAATACTTTAGGACAAGTGACTCTTCACCATCCTGCCCATTACCCAACAGGTAGCCTAGCTGTGACTTGAGAACAGGACACCATCGTGAGATCTGCACACCACAGATATCCAGCTTCACCCCCACCTAACAGTGTCCTCTGGGTCAGGTGAAGCTGTCCCCACTCCTTTTGTATGAAGATGGCAGTCACACTCTAAATGGTCACAGACCTGGCCCTGTGGTATGTGTGGAAAGAGCTAGTCAGGAGGCAGCAACCTAGGATTCCCGAGGGCTCAGCCCAGTGCTGTCCCGGGCCTAAAAAGGCTCTGAGTCAGGTCCCATTGTAACCACCCAATGGGTTATTTTTGTTTGCTGCTCAAATAGTGCCAATTTATCAAAAGATGGGTGATATGGTTTGGTTGTGTCCCCACTCAAATCTCATCTTGAATTGTAGCTCCCACAATTCCTATGTTTCATGGAAGGGACTTGGTGGGAGGTAACTGAATCAGGTGGACAGGTCTTTCCTGTGCTGTTCTCATGATAGTGAATAAGTCTCACAAGATCTAATCATTTTAGAAAGGGGAGTTTCCCTGCACAAGCTCTCTTCTCTTGTCTGCTGCCATGTGAGACGTGCTTTTCACCTTCTGCCATGATTGTGAGGCCCCCCCAGCCGCATGAAATTGTGAGTCCATTAAAGCTTTCTTTTGTAAATGGCTTAGTCTGTGGTATGACTTTATCAGCACCGTGAAAACAGACTAATACAAGGGGAATTGCAATAGAGAAAGAGCTTAATACACATAGAGTTGGCCAAAAGGGAGACTGTAATTTTATTATTACTCAGATCGGCCTCCCTTACAATTTGGAGGCTGGGTTTTTTACAAGATAGTTTGGCCCGCAGGGGGCAAGGGAGTGGGGAATGCTCATTGGTTGGTTTGGGAGGAGATCACAGAGAATCAAAGCTGTCTTCTTGCTCTGAGTCAGTTCCTGGGTGGGCTCCACAAGACTAGATGAGCCAGTTTACAAGTCTGGGTGGTGCCAGCTGACTCATCAGAATGCAGGGTCTGAAAAAATCTCAAATACCAATCTTAGGTCTTACAATACTGATGTTATCCATAGGAGCATTGGGGAGGCTAGGAATCTTATGGCCTCTGGCTGCATGACTCCTGAATCATAATTTCTAATCTTGCAGCTAATTTATTAGTTTTGCAAAGGCAGTCTCGTCCCCAGGCAAGGAGGAGGTTTGTTTCAGGGTGGGGCTGTTATCACCGTTGTTTTGAAGCTAAACTGTAAACTGAATTCCTCCCAAAGTTAGTTTGACCTACTCTCAGGAATAAACAAGGGCAGCTTGGAGGTTAAAGGCAAGACGGAGTTGGTTATGTCAGACCTCTTTTACTGTCATAATTTCCTCATAATCTTTGCAAAAGCGATTTCACCATTCTCCAATTGTCCTTCCCTGCTTGGCCATGGAGCTGCGTGGTTCCAGCAACTACACAGACAGACAACCCCACGCAACAGCTGAAAGCCTGGAAAAACCAAATGCCCTGCAAAAATGGGATGCCCAAAATGGTGTTGCCGGAAGTCCTGCCCCCACCCTTGCAGCCACAGAAAATGCCCTTTTCCTGTAGCATATATATATTTTTAATTTTAAAGACTTTGTGCATTTGTGGCAACTTCATGATTACACATAAGATTTTTCAACTTGAAACAAAAATATAAAGAGAGTTGGATCTCCAAGCTAACACGATTTATCTGGGAATAAATGAAGAAATAGGACTGAAGTCTAGTACATATGCACAGACTGGGTTGGTCTGTGGCTTGTCCTTAGAACAAAGGAAGGTTAGGATTTTATTGGAGAGAGAGGGGGTTACACATTTGGAAGAAAGCCTATTGCCACCGGCAGCATCTTACAAGAGTTGATTGGCGAGGGTCAAGAGTTGTTAGGTAGGACTTTCAATGTTGGCATTATAAGGTCCTTGTAGTCCTGCACTGGGTTTGTGACATTATGTGCCAGGCAAGTGTTCTTGCATGAGTGGCTAGCTGTCCTTGTACTGCTAGCTGTCTTTGTGTGACTCAGGTAGTAAGCTGCTGTTTGGAAACACGTCTCGAGCTAGTTCCTGTTATCGGGCAAAGTGTGTGTGTGTGTGTGTGTGTGTGGGGGGGGGGGTGGGGGTGGGGGTGTGTGTGTGTGTGAGACAGAGAGAGAGACAGGGAGAGCTCTCTCTTCACGGTCTTCCTCAGTTCCATTTGCCAGAGTTTGACACGAGTGACTGTATTTTGAATCTTACAACTTTCACAGATTACATATATTTTAAGAAAGTTCCTACTTAAGCTAGACGAGCTTTCTCTTTCAGAGGTCCTGTGACAATTCGTAAATTTAATGTTTGCATTTAAATCTTCCTTGCTTATTATGAGCATTGTTTCAAACAGAGCCTACATAATATTCTTAATTAATCTTTTACTTACCTGAGATTTTCCAAAGAATTTTAATGTGTTACCTTTTCCATGTCCTTATCATCTGCAACCTATACCTTACAATTATTTTTCTTTTTCTTTTTATGGGGGTCTAAAGAAAGGCAAATTGTCCAATACATTTATGTTCCTATAATAACATCTTGGTCAAGGACAGACCACACAGATGAGGGTGGTCCCACAAAATTATAATTCCATGTTTTTACTGTACCTTTTCTATGGTTGCATGCACAAATACCATGTGTTACAATTGCTTATAGTACTCAGTACAGTAACATGCAGTACAGGTTTGGAACCTAGGAACAAAATAGACTTTTCCATATAGCCAATGTGTGTAGTAGGCTGTGCCATCAAGATTTTCATAACTATACTCTGTGATGTTTGCACAAGGACAACATTGCCTAAAGACACATTTCTCAGAATGCATCCCCATCATTAAATGACCCCTGACTATATAGTATGATTTACCCAAAATGAATCAACGGTCAGCTAAAACTAAGATTTTTCAAAAATTTTATTAAGTTGTTCAAGCTCAACTAATCTCCCCACCAAGAAAAGGGTGTTGTATACCTTTCTTTAAGGAACTGCAGTGGTTTTTGTAAAACAGCACTCTTCGCAAAAACAGTTTCATTCTAAAATGGTTAAACCAGTGGTCCTCAACACAACGTACCTTGGGGGGGACCCCCTGCTTCAGCTGCAGTGACTTACTAACTAATGATTCTTCCATGCTGAGAAAGGAGGTGAAGAATCAAAATTCCCAGAGGACATACGCAGTTTGAATCCCCACCTGGCTCTGATATAAATTCCCAAGAGATATCCCCATCTCCCCCATTTCTTATCCTTGCGAAAATCAACAGTTTGCACATTCATTAGGCAAATATATATTGCTCTCCTAATTTTCCCACACACATATAAAAATGAAGAAGATTTGACCAGGCGTGGCGGCTCATACCTGTAATCCCAGCACTTGGGGAGGCTGAGGCTGGTAGATCACAAGGTCAAGAGATCAAGACTACCCTGGCCAACATGGTGAAACCCCATCTCTACTAAAAATGCAAAAATTATCTGGGCTTGGTGGTGGCACCTGTAGTTCCAGCTACTCGGGAGGCTGAGGCAGGAGAATGGCTTGAACCCGGGAGGCAGAGGTTCCAGAAGAAGAAGATTCATCTGAGCTCTCCAGTTGCTCAGGCTACCATTGGAGGATGAGAGGTTAAAAACCATATGTTGCCTTAGGCCAGGCACGGTGGTTTATGCCTGTAATCCCAGCACTTTGGGAGGCCAAGATGGGTAGATCACGAGGTCAAGAGATCAAGACCAGCCTGGCCAAGATGGTGAAACCCCATTTCTACTAAAAACATAAAAATTAGCCTGGCGTGGTGGCGGGCACCTGTATTTCCAGCTACTCTGGAGGCTGAGGCAAAGAATTGCTTGAACCCGGGAGGCAGAGGTAACAGTGAGCTGAGATAGCGCCACTGCACTCCAGCCTGGGCGACAGTGAGACTTCATTTCAAAAAAAAAAAAAAGACATATATATATATACACACACACACACACACACACATATATATAGCCCTAGTATGTAATCTGTGTGACCAACAGAAATGTATGAAGTGTGACCTGAGCACAGATTTGTTGGAGGCAGTACTAGATGTCCCATGGTGCCAGGTATCTGAACAATATTGGTCTATACCAATTTTCCCAGAGTGATTATTAAATAGTTATTAATAATGTCCCTTTCACAAGTGTCCTGATTAGTAACATTAATTGTATGGTCACCTTATCCATAATAGAGAAGATTCTTACCTTTAATTTCAGACAGATCCTGCTTTGAACCCCTATTATTTTACTCACTCGATACGGAACCTTGAGCCAGTGATTGAACTAGGCCTCGTGTATGGCAGAGGCATCTGACAGCCGTAAGCGAAGCATATCTCAAGAACGATTCCATGGTCTAAGAAGAGTATTTGTTCAAAGTTCTTAGCTAAGGAATCCAGGATTGGCCAACATGGAGCTCCACTCCTTATCTATAAAGAAATACAAACCCTTGACCCATCCCGTGGAACACAGGCCATGCAGGGGATCAAGGTTCTTTGTTTTGGGTTAAATGAAGGTTGCTAGGTGGAGGATGCCATGTGTAAATGTTATATACACTGAATGCTTTAAACCAACAACAATGGTGTTCCTGTCCGGCCCACCACCGTTAGACTGCCCTGTATGGAAGTACCCCCATTAAAACCTGTCTCTCATCCGCCGGGTCCCTTCTTTGGCCTCTAGGACACAGTGTTATGACTACTGGAGTCAATAGGCAGTCTGGCATGACACCTCCATTTTCTGATCTTAAAATGAAATAACATACGTGCCTCATATGATTATTATAAATGATCAATGAGATGGTATAAAACTTTTAAGTTTATCGTATGATATCTTCCGTATTAATAAGTGGTAGCAGTTTTATGAAAGAACATTATAGATATCCACAGAAGTAACTTTTACATATTTTATGTATTAAACTTAGTGAATAACAAGATGGGTAGCATAAACACCAAAAATATAAATCTATTCACTGCCCTCAAATTTATATTTGTTTAGAGTTCTTACTTTTATATAAAATCTGGTAGATATTCAAAGCAAGCTCTAGGAAAAGTCAGGGCTTCTAAAAATTCAGTACTTCAATTTCTCCAAAATAGTTTTCATGTTATTAGCGGTAACTTATACCATTATAGTAACTTATAATATAAGAGAAAAAGAAGGATCTATGTCTTATTTTATTTTTACCTTTGCCCTCAATATCACCAGGTATGTTGTAATTACTCAATTAATTTTTAAATAAATTAACTCAGATAATTGAGACCAAAAGATCAAATATGTACGCGAGAGAAACTTTCCAAGTACAACACTCATAAGCCTCATCTCAAGTATAAGACACCTCCACATCCCCTCACAGTACTGCCTATCCCAATCTCCTCCCACTCTTACACTCATGGGATTAAGTGTTGCTAGAAAAAAATATTCGTAAAGGCTCAGATTGTTAATTACTATTCATCCAGGTATCGTTAGGGGTTGCATGTGCTATGCTTCCTCAGCACCTTACGAACCTTTAATACAGCACTTTCACATTGCATTTTAAATGTTCATGCTTCCTTCTGAGTATCATGTTATAAACTCCTTGAAGAATGGCATTAGGTTTGGTTCATACTTTTATGCCCAGCAAATACCACATTGTCAGTTCATCATAGGTGTGAAATAAAATACAAATGAATAAATGAAAAACTGTATCGATAATTGCTTAGTAACACTTGAAAGTGTGCCTTAAAAATTCAGATCGCAAGAAACAGGCCCACATAGTATTTGAAGGGGCTTGATTAAGGATCCCTATTGTCTCCATAAGATTTGTAGCCCCTCGGATGTCCATAGCGTGATCTGCCTATTGTAGGTTAAATTTCATGGTAAAATTGTACACAATGGTCTGCTGAGCCCCGTAAAGTTGACTCTAAATGGACTTTCTGCTGAGCCCTGTAAAGTTGACTCTAAATGGACTTTCTGGCTGACTCGACTCTGTTCAGTGGCAGGACTGAGAAGGATCACCTCTAGCACCAACTGCTTTAACACTAATTATCAGACGTACACCAGATTAAATTCAGAATAGAGTGTCCAGGTCAGGCAATCTACTTAAACTTTAATAGAAGTTAATTATTCATTGATCAAACTCATTTATATCTAATTAAAGTTTTCCTGCATTAGAAGATACAGGGTAACATGGTCTATGTTCCACTCCTTGATGCAAAAATAAATGGAAAATGGTGACATTTGTGTGATACAAATACACATTTGACAACGGAATTATCAACTTTAGACATAATCCATTTAGTTGACTTTACTATGTAAATATCGTTTCCAAAATATTTCCAGAATTTGGTAATTTTTGGAGCCAGAAGAACATAGCCTGTCAAGGAACGAAGCCTGTGTATGCTCAAATGAAATCTCAGGGTCTGAATTTTATGTAGGTAACTATTTCAGTTTCATGAAGCATAATTAATTGTGCTCTTCACCATAAATATTTACAACAATAAAAATCTAAAATCTTGAGGCTTAGTATGGAAATGCCATTTTATAATCTATTTTTATGCCATTCTTTCTGAAAGCCCACAAAATGGCAGGATTTTCTATGGAGTGGTAAAGACTGAATGCTTTTTGCTGGAAAAAGAACATATGTTTATTCTAAAAAAAGTTTCCTGTGCATTTTACTTTTAACTGTCATCAGTTACAATATGGTGCTTGAAATATGTTGCTTTCTTTTATGGAGTGTTTTCTAATATTGAACATATTTCAAAGTTGTAGATTTTTGCTTTGGGGATATAATTTCTTATCTAAAGGAATATCTTTGAATTTTGTGTTCTTTTATGATAGCAAGATTGACAGTTTTATTTCCTAATACCATGTAACCTCAATTAAAACCACTGTGTAAAAATGTCTATTGCCATAAATAACCTATTATAAATACATTTCATATGAATCCTAAGTTTCCAAGGCTAAATGTTAAATCTCTCTTTAAATCCATACAATGCTTTCCAACTTTGTTATCATTTTTATTCATCGTGATTACTATTAATCTAAGATTTGAGATGCAGTGTTCATGTTCAGTATACACAAAATGTCCCCACTCCTTGGACCTATAAATATGGTAAGTGGGTGTGCTTTACACACATACTTTGCTTTTTCTTGGGGAAAACAAAAGATTATTTCTTTAAATCAAATTTTTGGAAGAGGTTTAGGCAGAACAGGACCTCCTCATGTTCACACATTACTGATTTGGGTATTTCGTATATTTCATATAGTTTTCTAGAATTAAACTGCACTATAATTGTCTGTTTATGTTTGTCTTCCCACCAAATTGTAAGATGTGTGTTATACTTTTCTTTGCACCCAGAAACTAACAAAAAATCCTGTGCTTAAAAAGCTTTCAGTGTTTGTTCATTGAATAAGTAAAATAACAAATGAATGGATGGATGGATGGATGAATGGATGAATGGATGGATGGATGCACGGATGGATGGACGGACAGATGGATGGATGGATGGATGGATGGATGGATGAAGGGGCAGATGGATGGACGGATGGATGGATGGACAGATGGATGGATGGATGGATGGATGGAAGGACAGATGGACGGACGGATGGATGGAGGGGCAGATGGATGAATAAGTGCATGAAGTTTCCACAACATGCCACCTGATGCCATTTGAATGCTAACTGACAGATATTAGGCCATCCAGCCCTATTTCCTTTTTGAAGATAAGTGATGTCCTAAAATTAACTTTTAAAGGATGTGACTGTATGTGCTACTTGAAAACCTTCAGGGTATCTTCCGAAATCTTCCTTGAGCAACACAAAACACTTTCCCTGGAGGAGACAAATGGCCATTGTTGTTTCTCCTAATGAAGTTTTGTAATCTTGAAGACAAGCAACTTTCCTGTCCATAAGCACAAATTGCAACGCCAGAGTCATCAGCATGTTTTCGATGTTGGTATCGAAATACACCAGAACTGGCCAGATGAGGTTAATTTACTTGAGGTTAAGAAAATGTTATATTGAGGTCTTTAAAATGCTTATGAGCCACATAAGAGAAATGATTTCAAATGCACACAGAAGAAGATGCAGATCAAATCAGTTAACTCTCAGGTAGCCAATCTATTGGTCTCAAATCTCTTCCGCTTATGGATGGGGACTGCACTACCTTAATTCCTTTCCTATACAATTGTTTCTTCTTCACTGGACTGCAGATTTAAAAAAAAAAAAAAGAGCTTTCAAATTGATACCAATGAGCCACAATCTGCCTTATTTTCTCAGCTCATTTTAAAGTTCCTTTTACCAGGGAACACAGACAACACCAACTTAGAATCCAGCCTGAGCTGCCTCCCTGAAGAAGACAAGCAGGTAAAATGTACAGTATTTTTTCCCCTTTTGAAAGCTAATCAACCTCATTTTGAAATAGTTTCAGCTTCTCTAATAGGCAGCATTAGAGAAAATATTTCCTTTAAGGGCTTTTTAAAAGACAAAAAGCATATGAATTTTTAATGATTTGGTAAAGAAAAGGAAAAGGATTTTCTTAACTAGAAAAGGATTAGATATTTAGGCTTTAAGGAAGAAAAGCAAGTGCATAATGGCATGAAGGCCCCATCCTATCACGAGAATTGGCAATCAGTGCCCAATTTTGGAAGAAGTAAAGGCACAATAATTGGCAGTCACTGCAGATATTTTTCTTTGCCAGCTAACATCTCATGTATCTTTCGTTAAATGGATTAAAGCCAGCTGCTGTACATCCAAAAACAGAACTTTTTCACACAAAGAAGGGGAATGGTAATAGAGATGTTTACTCAGTATAAAAGAGACATTCGCCACACTCGTGTTTATCACTAACATTTAGAAAATGTTTTTTATTATTAAAATTAACTGAGATCGACCTTTCAGAAATTTTCAGATAATTAATGTATGAACACAAATACACTCTAACGTGAGGCACAGTGGGAGGTGTCCAAAAAGCCCATCAGGTGGTGCCCACAGGCATATGTGAAGGGCTGAGCCCTGCTCCCATCAGACCCTGCGCAGTCGTAGATGAAGGTCAAGCTGCTGCAGCCACTGACTCTTCACTAAGGATCCTTCTGGACATCCAAGTCGTCCCTAAAAATACCAGCATCTCCACTTTTCAGGGCGTGAGGGTTTGGATTATATTTTCACCGATTCTTAAAACTTCTGTTGAAGCTGCTTTTTAGATAAGCTCTTTTTCTTTTTAGCTTGTTCCCCGGTTTTAAATAAATGTAGTGTTTGCATTCCCTATGTGTTCTCCACTCGCCCCCCGGCATTCTTCCAAGTCCAGAATATTCCCTGTATGATATTCTTTGCTGGGAAATCCGTGGACATCTTTAAAATAGTTGTGGAAAAGGAGGATTTCACTGACGTTGTAGATGCTATAGGGTAAACTGGGCAAAATTGCTAAATAGTTTGCTGGTGTAGGTCAAACAGCCCTTTCAACAGCTAGAGATCATCATCCCTGTGAATTATCTGCTCTTCTTCCATTCCAGGTCATCTCATTCCACAAAGCAAAAAAGAAGTGAAACAGAAAATAACCCTATTGTGTCTTATGTCTTAAATGTGCTTTTAAAACAGCAGTACAGGGCCGGGCGCGGTGGCTCACGCCTGTAATCCCAGCACTTTGGGAGGTTGAGGTGGATGGATCACGAGGTCAGGGGTTCAAGACCAGCCTGACCAACATGGTGAAACCCCATCTCTACTAAAAACACAAAAAAATTGGCCTGGTGGCGATAGACTGTAATCCCAGCTACTCAGGAGGCTGAGGCAGGATAATTGCTTGAACCCGGAGGCGGAGGTTGCAGTGAGCCGAGATCGCGCCACTGCACTCCAACCTGGGCAAAAGAGCGAGACTCCATCTAAAAAGTAAAAATAAAAAAATAAAAAATAAAACAACAGTACAGTTGGAAGCACATACTTCATATAGCCTAAAGTGGCCCTTTCACATCATCAAGGAAATCATATCATAGGTTTGGCTGTCACCCTTAATTGGACATAATTATACTGTTGTCTCCTGATAAACACCAAGTTTTAAATTATTTTAAATAACTTTTGGAGAACTGTCATGATATGGCAAGGTCACTAGCGTGTTCTTCTTCCTAATCACTTATTAGCCTTAACACAGTGAAAGACTCCCTTCTTCTGAACTTTACATGGCAGCCCATGCTCAGGTAATTTTCCACTCTCCAGCTCTTTCTCAGTCTTCATTGATGATATGTTCTCTGTTTCACCAAGAAACTTTGGCAACACTCAGCCCTCAGACCTCAGCCTTTCTCTTCTCACCCTGTGCTTTCCCAACTCAAGCTTCCTCCTCCTTAAATCCGTCCCCTCAATGCCCTCATCAAAGTAGATGAATCCTCCATCCACCCAGGTGCTCGCATAAGAAACTAGGTAACCAGCAACAACATTCTCTCTCAGTTCAAGAAACTAATAGATGTTCTCTCAAACCCATCCAGACTCTGCCAGCTTCTCATCAGCCCCATGCACAGCTCTGCCCTACATCCTAATCCTCTCACCTGGATCATGACCATTGTCCCCAAATGACTTTCTGCAGCCGCCCCTGCCCTCCTGAATCTCCTGCCTGGATGCCATCCTCTCATTTGGCAGACTACCTTCCTCAATAGTGTTGTTCACACTAGCATAAAATTTTCCAGAAACCAGACATTGCATCTTGATTCTACTCATCACATGTAGCTTGTATGTGTCAGGGGCATCCATCCACCACGTTCTCCAAGTCACCTGCCTGTTCAAGTTTCTTTCACTCAGCTGATTGCACCTTTCCTGGCTCCCTGGCCATGTGTGTTATGCAGCTCAACTCTTTTGGTACATCCCTTAAAGCAATGCTGTTGAATAATAATTGTCAATGATACATCATAATACAAAACAAACATTAAACTAATAGAATGCATTTGAGCCTGAAAACTGCCTACCCCACCAACATCTCACCATTTTTCATTTTTCTCACCCCACTCATACTGGATGAAAAGGCAGGAGAATTCCAATCTCATCTTCCCAATGGTTTTCGCTTCCCCTTCTGGTTTCCAGTTCTAGGACTTCGTTTGATTCATGGGACCTTCCTTTTTTCCTTTTTGTTTGTCTTTTTTGTTGTTGTTTTAATGTAAAAGCATTGCATCATTCTTATTAGCAGCGTTTTTTCTTTTTCCAGTATAAAAAATAATGATGCATCTTGCAATCAGCGGAGTATTACATAACAATTAAATATTGTAAATGCCCAGGTTTTAAAATTATTATTATCCTACTATTCTAAATACTTCAGTGTACTCTCTTTACAACAAGTACATTTTCTCATAAACTTTGGTATCATTACTGTGTATCAGAAAATTAAAAATACTTCCATGATGCCATCTAATACCCAATCATATTCAAATTACTCCAATTGTCCCCAAAATATCTTACATAGTTTCTCCTGAACTAGAATTCAGTTAATTTACATGTATTGCATTTGACTATAAATGGTAATATTATTAATACTGTGTACCTGCTACTCACTAGAAATGATTATTTTAACAAAAAAATATTTTATAGGCATTGTTGTTGAATTCATTCTCATCCTATTTTTATCTTTTGGCCCTCATTTTAAGAACAGCTTTATTGAAACAAGTTTTACATCTCAGAAAATTCATCTATTTCAAGTAAAAATTCAATGACTTTTCGTTACTTTACTAAGTGGAATTATTTACTTGGCAGGGATCAACACCTGACCTAAAGTGGGATTTAGATTGGTGAGGAGGTTCAGTATGACTGGGCTCTATGCCCCAACACATGGTATAATATCAAGATTTGGGCTCTAGACAGATAGGTAGAGTTAGAGACATAGAGATGATAGAGATGGAGATAGAGTATTAGTCAAGGTTCTCTAGAAAGAACAACCAGGAGATAGATATATATATATATATATATAAAATATATTCTATTTTATATATATATATATATGAATTTATTAAGAAGTATTGACTCACATGATAACGAGGTGAAGTCCCACAAATAGGCCGTCTGCAAGCTAAGGAGCAAGGAAGCCAGTCAGAATCGCAAAACCTCAAAAGCAGGGAAGCAGACAGTGTAGCCTTCAGTCTGTGGCTGAAGGCCTGAGAGCCCCCAGCAAACCACTGGTGTAAGTCCAAGAGTCCAAAAGCTGAAGAACTTGGAGATGATGTTCGAGGGCAGGAAGCATCCAGCACGGGAGAAAGATGGAGGCCGGAAGGCTCAGTAAGTCTAGTCCTTCCACCATGTTCTTCTGCCTGCCTTTTTTTGTTTTGTTTTTTTTTGTTTTTTCCCCCCCCCCAGAATCTTGCACTATCATCAGGCTGGAGGGCAGTGGTGCAGTCTTGGCTCACTGCAGCCTCTGCCTTCCAGGTTCAAGCAATTCTCCTGCCTCAGCCTCCCGAGTAGCTGGGACTACTGGCGTGCACCACCATGATCAGCTAATTTTTGTGTTCTTTGTAGAGACGGGTTTTCACCACGTTGGCCATCTTCTGCCTGCTTTTATCCTGCAGCTGATTAGATTGTGCCAACCCAGATTGAGAGTGGGTCTGCTTCTCCCAGTCCACTGACTCAAATGTAATCCCTCACAGACACACCTAGGAACAATACTTTGCATCCTTCAATCCAATCAAGTTGATACTCAATATTAATATATATGTATATATATACACACACACATACAGAGAGAGAGAGAGAGAGAGAGAGATACAGAGAGATAGAGATAGAGATAGAGATAGAAGTACACACTTCCATCTCCTCTATCTCTTTCTCTTTGGTGCTTGACTCATTTCCTTTGGTTATCTTTATTCTTAGGCAGCCTCCCTGAAAGTAGTGACAATCTAGTTATCTTATAAACTTAGAAAACAAAAAAATCCTTAATTGATCAAAAATGCCATTATCAAAGGTCCTGAATTGGCCCAAAGTAAACAAAGTGCCCCTTCCTGAACTCTAATTGTCCACGGTAGGGCCCGGTGCCTATTCCTGGAGCTGGAGCAAAATTGGACCAATCAAAGAACATGGACTGGGGTGTAGGAGGTTCCAAAGGGAAAACAGGAACTATTACCAGAAAAAGAAAAATTGGATGCTTGCCAGGGAAAAATGGTATCCTTCCACTACAATCCTCTGTATCAGAGCAGACAAACATTTTCTGGAAAGGTCTAAATAGTAAGTATTTTAGGCTTTGCTGACCATGCAGTCTGTGTCGTAACTATTCAACTCTGCCACTACAGTGCAAAAGGAGTCATAGACACTATGTAAAGGAATGAGCATTGCCATGTTCCAAACTACTTTATTTACAAAAACTTGCAGCAATCCCAGGTTGGCCCACAAGCTGTAGTTTGACAATTCTTGCTCTATGTCATCAACAGGACTGCTATGATTTGAATATTTCTGTCATCCCAAAATTCATATGTTGAAATCTTAACCCCCAAGGTAATGGTATTGGAAGATGGGTGCGTTGGGATGCAATTGGAGCCCTAATAAAAGAGTGCCACGGAAGCTCAGTTTCCCATTCCACTGTGAGGACACAGAGAAAAGACACCATCTGCCCACCAGAAAGTGGGCCCTCATCAGACATCAAATCTGCTAGTCCCTTAATCTAGGAATTCCCAGCCTCCAGACTGAGAAATAAATTCTTGTTGTTTATAAGCTTCCCAGTTTGTGGTATTTTGTTATAGCAGTCCAAAAGGACTAAGACAAGAACCCGTATCCAGTGACAACAGACGCGGTTGTAGCTGTCTGCTAGACAGCCTGCCATATGCTTTTAAATAGTGTATCTTAGCCATATGGTGTTTTAAAAGCCAACTCAAAGTTCTCCTTCAAATATTATCAAGAAGCTGAGTTCCCACTAATGACCAGTTACTAAGAATATAATAACAATGATAAATCTCAAATTAAAAGTACTATCAGAAGCTAAAGGGAATTATAAGAATCTTTGTTTTTGTAATGATTTAAACATGACAAAATTAGACGATATTGAAATAATCTAATATTTCATTGCAAATATTCATACTTCACTATATCTAATTAAATTTCTGACAGTTGTTAAAATTGTCAAGCACCAATATTTCTTTTATCTAGGCAAGCCATATTATTCCTGCCTTACTAAATAAGAAAACTAATACTTTTAGAGACATGTGAACAATTTTGTCCTTCACATCTAACATTTAAAATCAAATTTAGTAACTCATATCTCTAAGACTTTTATAACAAAATTATAGTAGTAGAATTGTTAAACTATATAAAACTCTGGAGTTCAAAAGTTGTATAATTATGACAATAAATACAAATTGTTCATGGTCTGTTATTTGTTTTTTATAGCTTGAATACATTTGCAAACATGATCTTTATTACAGTTTTTGTACTGGCACTACTTACTTATATTT